GGGCCGGGGCCTGGATCCGGCCTTTCCACCGGCTGAGTCACCGCCATCCCCGGGGGGGAGGCTCCCCCCGCGGTGCCACGAGGTTCCCTCACTCTGGCGACCAGTGAGGAGAAGCCCCTCGATCCCTGTCTCAATTTCTGCTGCTCAGCGGATAAAACCACCTGGTATTTCAAGGTAAAAATCTGAGAGTTTGCCCTTCCCCTGCCCTGCGTTTCCTCTGAGAGACACAAACCAACGGGGCCTGCCCGGGGTTGAATACGATGGCCCCTGGGTTCGCTGGGTTTCTCTTCCTCGACTGTAACAACAACCCTCCCGTCAGCAAGGTTAGGCAAACAGCCACTGATAAAACGACTTCCAGGTTGCTCTTCCCAAGGCCGGAGTGCACCGGCCGTTGAACGCAGGGCCCAGATGTGTGTGTGTGTGAACCTGCTGGCAGTGACACCTGCTGCATGGCGCTGGCCAGTGACAGCGTGGGGCCTTGGTGCCATGGTACAGCCTGGGTTGATGACTTTGGTGATACTGTTTGGGTAATTGCGATAAGGCCGCCCAACCCGCCCTCCCCCTCCCCGCGCCGCTGACGCTTCATTGAGAAAACGGGCTGTTGGCGCCGCACGGAGAACTCGTTTGCCCCAGCCAATCAGTCCAGGGACAGCTGGGTTGGTTTTATTTTTTTTTTTTTAATGAGGACCGCTTAATCACAGAGCGGTCAAGGCTGTGGAGGAGTGTTTCACCGGTGACCCTGCCTTATAAGAGCTGGTTCGAGCAGCTGTGGGCTGGCAGAGCTGGGAGGACAGGGAGAATCCAGCCTGCTACAGAGGGTTTGGGAAGGATTTTATGTCTCTCTCCTGTCTGCTGTAGCAGGAGCTGAGTTTTGCCAAGGATCTAGCTGCCCAGCTCAGCTATGACCAGCAGCGGCATGGACGTGGACTGCGAGCGGTGCCAGTGCCACAGTGAAGACAAGCGCACTGCCATCCTCTACACCCTCCTCAGCCAAAACCTCAACCACAGCCGGGGTGGGCGCAGCCCAGCCCACCAGCGCTGCCTCTGCCACCAGCGCCGGACCGTCTGCCTCCGCACACCCCACATCACCTGCCAGGCAGCCTCCAACGTCCTGGTAAAAACCATCAGCTTCATGAAAAACCTCCCTTCCTTCCACCTGCTGCCGCGAGAGGATCAGCTCCTGCTGCTGGACAGCTGCTGGGTCCCCCTCTTCCTCCTGGGGCTGGTCCAGGAGATGGTCACCTTCGAGGTGATGGAGACTCCGGCCCCCAGCATGCTCAAGAAGATCCTCCTCGATGGGCAAAGCAAACATCAGGAGCCAGAGCGGACGCAGCCCACACTGGCTGCCGTGCAGCGGCTGCAGTGCTGCCTGAACACATTTTGGAGCCTGGACCTGAGCCCCAAGGAATACGCCTACCTGAAGGGAGCCATTCTCTTCAATCCCGGTGAGTGCCTGGCTCTGCCTGCCGATGGGAGAGCACATCCCACACACCTTAGCACCCAAACATCCACCTCTTGGCTTGCTCAGAGCACGGGCAGGGCTGGTTACCTTATCCTTAACACCGATTATCCTCAAACCGATCATTACAAAATACACCGGGAAGCAGGGAGCAGGGATGTCAAATGTAGGGGTAAAAGCTGGAGACCTTTGCCTGCCCTGCAGACAATAAAGGACCCCCAGGATTTAATTTGTAAGGCACAAGTTTGCCCAGTTAACTACTTTTGCTCCCTCGAAACGGCAGCCCTGAAATCGCTATGTTTTGGTAGCACTGCCTACGTCTCATTAGTGTGGCCTCAGAGATCCTTTCTGAGAAATGGGGAAGGGGAAGGGTGGGAACGGGAGAAACCTGGGGCTGTTTTCCAGCCTTCCTCATCACCGGCTTTTCCTCCTTTCCCTCGGCAGATGTCCCTGGGCTGAGAGCCTCCCTGTACATCGAGAGCCTCCAGCGGGAAGCCCAGCGAGCGCTTCAGGAGGTCCTGCAGCCCCTGCACCCCGAGGACCAGGGCCGCTTTGCCCGCATTTTACTGATCGCCTCCACCTTAAAATCGATCCCTCCCACCCTCATCACGGATCTCTTCTTCCGACCCATCATCGGCAACGCAGACATTGTCGCGCTCATTGCGGAAATGCTGTACGAAATAACCAGCAGGCAGCTGGCTCACACGGCACGCGTGGCGTGCTGAGCAGCCGCGCTCGACTGCCGACCCCGTGGATGCTCCCCACGCCTTGCCAGGCAGCAAAGCAAATCTAGGAGCAGGAATTTAGCCAGCCAGGCGCTTCGGACTCTGCGGGGAACTGCGCGTTTCGGTAGAGCTGAGGACGGAGGATTCAGCCAGGCTGCAGGCAGAGCGCACAGA